GTCTCTCGCGGTGCTCGCTGCAAAAGTAGAGCAATGTTCTACTTTTTACGCCTCGATGGAGGCGTCAGCAAATCAAATCCCGTTTATGCAAATCTGCCAGTACAAGCGCTAGCCAATCAGACTGCGTGTATGCTGGTAGAGCCAGACCGCAGTTCATTTCCTCATATGCCAAAAAATGGAGGAGAAAATAATCATAGCGGTAGGGAATCACTCTGTGCTTTATGATCAGTCCCTGTTCACCTACCGGGATAAAAACCGGAGGAGCCAGGCATGGAGGGAGGTGGCAGGGACAGTGGGTGAAACTGGTAGGTTTTCATCTGTTTGGGGAGTTTATATATCCAGTGTATTTCGTTTGAATGGACAGCTAGCAGGCATAGACAGTATTTAGCCAGCATGGAATGTTGCGTAAAATAGCACCATAGACATTAATGTCATAAATGTTCATCATATAAAGTGTAACATGTAAAACCTTTTATGCAATTGACAGGAGAGATTCATGTGATCGGTTGTTGGTCGCGTTGCTCGCGTAAACTCCCCAAGCTCAAGACACGCCCACCGCCAAGCGGCAACGCACGCCGCCGTGTGTAGGGCCCGTGACCTTGGTATAATATGGTGAAGTGTAAGTTCAACCATATTTGGTTTGAAAACATCTAATTTAGTGCTTGGTTGAAACCAGTTGAGGGGAACGTGTCTGAGGCCCGCTGCACCTTTTGCAACAAAAAAATTTGTTTTGCTAATGTAGCGTTAACTCCCGCAACAACATCGGGGGACCGGTAGGTGCTGTGGACGCTAAATACCGTAGCTAAACACCAATCACAGCAACGATGAAAGATTTCAGCCAAGGCAGCAGAGCTCTGAATATAGCTCTTGTCACTCAATCTCACACACACACAGAGACACACACACACGCACACACAGTTCTGTGTAGCCTATACTGTTATGCTGTTATGTTCAGTCAACGTTCCTATGTTGAACATGAATACATTTACTTTGTAAGTAATTATGGGACGTATTTCTTCTTTCGTAGCAATTTTCCTTCATACTTTCTTGCCGTGAAATAGGTCTTAAATTCTATTCAAAGTTGTCTTAAAAAGTTCTTAAAAAGTCTTAAATTTGAGTTGGTGAAACCTGCGGGAACGCTGGAAACAGTACCCGCTAGCCGGAACTACCCCTAGTGGAAACGCAACAAAAAACGGGCCGGGTTTGGCACTGTATGAACTTTGTGATTCTTACTCATTTGTAGAAGAAGAGGTGGTACCCTTGCAGGGGCCCATTGTCTCATTTTCCGCCCTTGACTTTACTTGATTAACCTACATACATTTTTTGCTATATTCTTTTTATATTCCACAAGACTCATTTATTCTCCCCTGACATCTGCTGTTACTTTGTAGATTAACATTTTCATACAATTTTGAAGATTTTAAATGACAAACAATGATTTTTAAATATTTGATTAAATCAAGTATTGTTACAGATTCAATAACCCAATGGCTTGTAGTTATCAATATATAAATATATTATATATATTGATTATATAATAACATCAAAAAGGTGTTATGAACACATTTTGTGTGCAGTATTATGTCCATAGACTGTATATATAAAGATTATGTCACAAACTAAACATAGACAATGTTTCTTTAAAAAAATCTCATTTTTATTAAATTGTCTGTGTGCTCTTGGAGTGGTAAGTAGTTTAGCAACATACATTATTATTTCAAAAAATCTGAGAGCTATAGCGTCCATACTTTACATACATGGATTATATCTATTGTGTAGAAATGTTCACTGTCTATTTTGTTATTAAACAGACTGCACACAAAGGACGGACGCAGCCTCCCACATCTAAATGGTACAACATTAGGAAGATGAGTTGCCTTCTCGCTATATGTGCTTTACTCAAACACCATTACATTCACCGGGTTCATGTAAAAAAGAAAAAAAGTAGTAAACAACTACAGTAAAATAAACATTATATGTTTGTACGAAATGTATTACATCCTACATTCCATATCAATACTATGTGGTTATTAATACTACACTGAAAAAACTGAAAAGTTGACTTTAATTAAATGTATTGTCTCAACAGATTTCACTTAACCGTATTAGGTTAGTTGAAAGCAATAATATTTTTTCTTTAAACGTAATATTATTGCTCTCAACTAACCTTATACGGTTAAGTGAAATCTGTTGACACAATACATTTAATTAAAGTCAACATTTAACTTTTTCAGTAGGGCAAAAAGTGCTTTTACAGTATCATTCGTTGTACAAAATATGTATATATTTACAGGTGACGTTTAGAGTGGGAAGTGGTTGCTGTGTGTTCAGGATTCAGTCTTCTTTTCTCACAGGTGAATGTACACATGGAACTAAGGTCCGTCACAAGGTCAAAAGGTCAGGTGCTCTGGCTGCTTACACTCGTTTTTAGCACCCTCCCTTTTCCTCTCTCCTATTTCACGTTCAGTCACATTCAGTATCTCCCTGTATCTCAATGCTCCAATACTGAGGTATGTGGTTTGACTTCACAGGAAATGGTCTCACATTCTTCATATTTCTTGTCTGTCCACTCTAAACTACAGGCAGCAGGTGGCAGGGGTTGGTAGAGGTGAGGTTTAGCAGACAGTGTGGAGGGGCGACAACGGGCTGTCCAGGGTGTCAGTCGGAGACAGACATGAACTGGAGCTTTTAAACATGGAAGAGATATGGAATGCCTGGAAAACACATAAGCACACGCCAAACTTTAGGATTTGAACAGACCCTGGTATATGGATATGCCCAAAAACTAGGTAAGGTGTACTCACCACCCAGTAAGCAGTCAGGGCGCCCTGTATGTAGCCTGTGAGCACGTCGGACGGGTGGTGCCTGAAGTCTGAGATTCGGGTCAGACCTGTGTAGACCGCCAGCAGAACCAGGAAGAACTGCAGCGCCGGCCTCAGCAGCCGAGCACCGCGCCATGTCAACCTCGCCTGCAGGTAAAACTATGTGACGAAAACAAACAACATGTTAATTTTGTGTTTACGGTCGTCATGTGTTATCGTAAATAATAGATTTTCCATTGAAGACTACCAGTCAGTTTTTTTTTCATGAGATTTGGGGGAAGTAACATACAGTAGGGTGGGCGTAGCGCTTTTTGACGTTTGGGGATCCTCAAGTTGGACAGAGTTTTGTGTGTGCAGCGCCTTTGTTAAACAGTGCAAACATCTTCATTTGAATGTGTTTTTTTATCTGCATCCTTTTTTTAAACTGCAGCGCGTTTTCCCTAATGGAAATGTTTTGGCCCGTTGTAACAACTTTGCACCTGTCGGCCACCGTTAGAAGAGCATGGTTGATGGACGGTACCAATCTTATTTTTATATCCTATTAATGATGAGAGTATGTATGCCAATGTTACTCATTTTGGATAATATTCGTATGTACAGTATAATTCCATCAGTACAGACGAATGCCATACCCAACCCTCTCTGTGCATTGTGTTTGTGTTCATTAATAAGTATTTGATTGGTAGATAGGGGGATGGAGGAATGTAGCTTGAGTAAAACAACACAGTTGCCCTCTTTGTTATTTTTGTGATCCAACCATGACATGAATATCTCTTTAAAAAAAAAAAACACTAATGTATTTAAATAACATTATAGACACAGTTTCCCTAGTTAAGGTAAAAGTAGAGATTAACAGTCTGGTTGGTGCAGTGGATGTGACTTGTTTTTCATCTTCCCTTTTACCCTTTTTAACCAGCAAGACCAGCCCCCCCACACTCACATTAATATGCTGTGTGCATACATATACATGTGCAGGCCCTTGCACAGGGACACACATAGGCTGCCATAAACACATATAAATGCGAGAGCTTGCACACACACACTGATACAATAGAGGAGAGCAGTGAGGCGGTGAGGCGAGGTCACACTCCTCCCACAGCCGAACAAAGCTGTCTCTGTTTGTCCCATTTCTCCTTTCAGCCCTTTTCTTTCTCCCTCTCCTCTTTCATTCCCTCGATTTCTGCTGCTAACTGGACTGAAGATGGCTCGCTGTTTCAGTCATTCTCACTCTGTATTTAATAGAGAGATGGTAATTGGAAATTGGAGAGACGGCAAATTGAATTTGTGTGTGTGTGTGTGTGTGTGTGTGTGTGTGTGTGTGTGTGTGTGTGTGTGTGTGTGTGTGTGTGTGTGTGGATGGATGGATAGAAATACTCACTGCTAAATAGAGCATTGTGTACATCGCAAAGGAAGCGTGGCCAGAGAAGAAAGACTTCCTAAAAAAATAGAGAAGTTTTTAGAATAAAAAAATAAAAGCATAAACCCACAGATCACATGTCCTTGAACATACAGCATGCACGCACACGCACGCACGCACGCACACACACACACACACACACACACACACACACACACACACACACACACACACACACACACACACACACACACGTACACACACCTGGCCTCTTCCTCCAACCGGTGGTCAGGCTGGCGGCAGTTCACTGTTGCAACGTAGGTTCCAGGTGTGCAGTTAAGCGACGCATAGGTGACACCGCACACAGACAGGAAGTGCGGTCGCAACCGCCCGACACTCAGCTTGGCCATGTTGGTCAGAGACTGTCCGACGAAGCAGCCGAACAGGAAGCCGCCCAGCTCCTTGTAGAGACAGGACACATACAGGTTCCTCACGAAGGCCTTAGAGCTGATGCCTCTGAAACGAACACGGTAACACTCCCCCAGAGCGATCTGAAGGAAGACACATCGTCATATACAGTAACATTCTCTTCCTTGTGTCAAATCAATAATGGACTGTTAGTTATGACAGGGATGTTGAGTACTCACAGTCAGGCCGGTGATGATGATGCCACCGGCGATGAGTAATTCGTCAGGTATGGCCTCTCGATGCAGATAAGGATACCTGATGCTGGGGTCCCCGCACATGAAGCCCCTCCTGTAAGGACTCACTGCCTTCAGCTCACACGCAAAGAAAGGGATGGAAGCTGCACGGAAGGAAAGGGACATGATTTGTAATCACAAATATCCCCACTGGGAGTATAGACATTCCTTTTTGTGATGGGAAAGTGGAGATGATGCGTGGGAGTAGAACGGCTAGAAACTAGAGGATGAGAAAGAGCAATTCAAGAAGAACCCAAGTATCAGTTTTTCAAGATGTGCTATCCCCTAGAGTTCTATGTACTATATGCTTTTGAGCCATGCTAGCAGTGTGGCTCTGGGGATGGCGATGTTGTGATGTTGGTAGGTTGGTAGGTCAATTTGGTCCAGTCTGAAATATCTCAACTCCTTAGCCCTAAACTTAGATTTATGATCAAACACTTGCAAAACACACGTGAATAGTTCCCATCAGCCTTTAGCCATGGCTAAAGAACACATAGTAGCATGCTAACATTCTAAAATTAAGATGTAAAAATGGACAATTACATGCTAAACATCAGCATGCACTGTCAATACTGTTATTTTGAGTTATGTTAGCTTTTACATTCAGCTAGGAAAAAACTTAGTATAAAGAAACCACCTCAATATCACCTCAAACTAATGGCAGCATGGTTTGAATCTGATCAAACAAAGATGCAAGTCAATAACAAAACTAAGAGGGAATAGGACATGGGAAGATGGAGGGAGGGTCAAACGAGAAATAGTTTTGCAGGAAAATAAGGGTGGGAACTCTTTTTCGTTTGAAAGCAGGCAGAGATTGACAGAGACCAGTCTTGAATTGCATGTGAGTGTGTGTGTCATTGTGTGTGTGTGTGTGTGTGTGTGTGTGTGTGTGTGTGTGTGTGTGTGTGTGTGTGTGTGTGTGTGTGTGTGTGTGTGTGTGTGTGTGTGTGTGTGTGTGTGTAGTAGTAGTACGTTAACTTACGTNTTTGTGTGTGTGTGTGTGTGTGTGTGTGTGTGTGAATGTGAGTGTATGTGCATTTCTGTTGATGAGAAGAGAAAGGGGCGTTGTTGTGACTTCAGTTCAACTCTTCCGTACAAAACAAAGCAAATGCTGCAGCAGATCAGAGCCAGAGCCAGCCTCACACTGTCTCTGTCTGTCTCCGCTCTCTCTCCCTGTTTTGCATGCCTGCACACACACAGTGGACAGAGGGTTGAGAGACAGAAAAAGACAGAGAATCCTTCTGCACAAGTTCAATCTGTTAGAATAATATTCAGACTACCTCACCGTCCAGCTTTTTCCAATTAGCCAACATTATATAACCTCCTCCTGTCACATATAGGGACCTTGGGAGGGAGCAACAATTACAGTCATGTGCACGCACGCACGCACGCACGCACGCACGCACACACACACACACACACACACACACACACACACACACACACACACACACAAGCATTTATTTATTTATAACAAATACAATTCCCCCTGGCCCGGCTCTACCCTGAGAACTGGAGGTTGTCATGGAAACTGCAGAATTCCCTGGGCAATGCACAAACCAGCTGGCACGGAGCGCACAAGAGCGCGCACGAGTGGAAATCAGAGAGCCAGCATGTAGTAGGAGAGCAAACTCGAATAACTCTTTCTTTTTGCTGCTCCTGTTCTACAGACCCTCATCCCTGATATGATCATCCTGAATCTGACTGTCCTAGTTGACTAAATACAAAGCGATGGAAACAAAGTGGAACAGAGCTCCACATCATGGTTGAAGTTCACCTTCACCGGAGACACCCTGAATAGGAAGCAGTAACAAACTTCAAGATAGTTCATTTAAAGTCTTCAAAGTTAGAAATATCCAACTGATGAACTCTTTCATTACTTTCATTTATTTCATAAAAAAGAAGGAAACAGTAAAAAGTCACACATTTCATAACACACATGATGATCAGATTGCTTGGTTTGTCCAAACAACACTTCACTAAAAATATATTCACATGTATTAACACATGAGACATTACACCAGCAAATAATCACTACTGTAAGCCAGAGAACACTTGTCAGTTTTTCATAAAAAATACCAAAATTGTTAATTTATTTCTACCAATGACCTAATTGACTATTTAGCTATTAATTAAAACTCTAAAAATAAAACATCCAGGAAATCAGTGCAAATTATCTGAAATAACTTATGCATGGATGGACAAAATAGCAAAACACCTCACAGCAGGCAAGCAAAAGCCTAACAATACATGAACTTAACAAAGTTGTAGCACCTCAACGTACATTTTTACTTACAACAAGTTAATAGATAGGCTATGTGCAATGGAACTTTACTTTTTTGATGATCTGAATGATGTTGCACAGTTTCTGTTATCAAGTTCACTCCCAGTTGTTGTACACTAAGAAAGTACACAGCAATGCATTAAAAAATGAAACCGCAGATCTAAAGTAGAAACTTTATGATGATTATTACCCAGGAAGAGGCAGAGGAGGTCTAACCCCACCAGAAGTTTTCTTTTGGATAACGCTGGTCCAGTTATCTCTATGAGTTTCTTCCCAGTGCCGTTCTCCATCCCCATCCCGACCAGGCTGTTCTTGTTGTCGGTCAGTTTGAGATGGAGCTCCGCGCTGGAGACGTGCACAACAGCGCTCTGCGATCCAAATGTATCCAACATGACGTCTCAGCGTAAAACAGTTGTTTGCATCAAAAGTGCAGGAGCGGCCTTGAACTACTCATGTGCAGAGCTGAGGAGAGAATGTAAGCATGTCCACGAGTTAAACGGTATTTATGATGCTCCGTCAATGTAAATTCTCTTTTTTACGCATTTTTTTTATTTCATCACAGAGTCTGCAGGGCTCGCCCCGACTCGCTGCAGAGCATCCGTCACCTGGAAGTTATGCAGCCGTGCGCGGAAAACTGGTTGTGCAATAACCCGGGGACCTCTCTCTCTCTCTCTCTCTCTCTCTCTCTCTCTCTCTCTCTCTCTCTCTCTCTCTCTCTCTCTGTCGCTCTCTCTCTCTCTCTCTCTCTCATAAGTATGACTGTAATTATAGGGTATGACTACAGAGGAAGAGCATTACATGCATCAGGTGTGTGTCACTGTTGCAGTAGGTTTTTTTCCATGACTATGATTCACCTTACAACTTTCCCTAAGACTTTCATTCACACAAACCTGAGTTGACCTGGGGATGTAGCTGAACTTCTTTAATATATTTTAGCAAATCAATTATTGGACGGATGGCTAAAATATTGCTAGTCTTTTGCTCAATCTGATATACAGTATACATCAGTGGTCGCCAACCAGTCGATCGCGATCGACCGGTCGATCATGAGTGTGGTGCGGGTAGATCGCAGACCGTTAAAAAAAATCCATAAAGAAAAAGAAAATCTGTTTACAGTTCTGTTTCATATGGGTGCTGAGAGAGGTATCCATAGACCTCTTCATGTTGCTCTCAAAGTGCACCAGATTGATGCTTTCAACTTCAATATTTAAAAAAAAATCTTCCCGGGGGAGCATCCCCCCGGTCCCCCCTTGAGGAGGTGAGGTCCGCCCCCCAATAGCNTGAGTGTTTAGAACGATTTTGTCACAAATTATTCAAAACATTATTTCCGCGGCACACCTGATCATTTTTATACAAACAATAAGAGAATAAATGAAAAACAGGTATGAAATAGCCTACAATATGGCAGTAAAACAAGAATACAGTTTAAAAGGGGAGTGATTTGTAAAATATCCATAAAGAAAAAGAAAATCTGTTTACAGTTCTGTTTCATATGGGTGCTGAGAGAGGTATCCATAGACCTCTTCATGTTGCTCTCAAAGTGCACCAGATTGATGCTTTCAACTTCAATATTTAAAAAAAAATCTTCCCGGGGGAGCATCCCCCCGGTCCCCCCTTGAGGAGGTGAGGTCCGCCCCCCAATAGCACTTTACCCCTGCCTATATGCCGTGAGCTGATTATGGAGCCTTCATTGTAATTCAGATGCAATTAGCCTCTAGAAAAGGCCTCAAATTGGAAGCATTGTCTGGGCCGTCTTTTTCACTCAATTCTGCAATAGGTAGATCTCGCCTTTCACCTAGGCCGAGGTCGGTGATCTTGGGCTTAAAAAGGTTGGTGACCACTGGTATACATGATATATTTGTCTGCTTAGTGACCATTTATATTTCCTTTCTTGTTACCTTTTAATGAGCACCATGGTATTTCACCAACAATTAGATTGAATACTTTAAACTGGTTGGCAAATTTGGTAAAAAGTAGGCTTAATGTGAATTGGGACATTTTCACAATTTTCTGTAAACAAGCAGTTTTAAGTGTTGAAATTCCATTGACATTTTTTTTTTAAATTATTAATAGATAGTTTTGGTCAAAGCCCTCTGTTTACCTTAATGAAGGTATTAAGTCAAATTTGTCAAGGAGATTCTTCACAACCCAGCACCTTAAAAGTTATTCCCATTAATGTCGTATAACTGCTTCAGAAAATGGTTAAGGGGTTAATTTGATATTTTGGATTATAGGCTTATCATCTCTCTGGATGAGTATATGTATGTGAAAGTGCGTTCAAGTGACAAACTCCATTTCTGAAAAGTAAATCAAACACTCGAGTCAAGTGTCTTAAATCTGCATTTGTGCTAAAGACCAGCAGGTGGAGCTCTCACTTGCAAAAAAGATGTCCAACTGTCTAAAGGTCTATGAGGGAATGACCCCTTGATATATCAACTTAACATCTTCTTATTCGTTTCTTTTATAACAATCGCCAGTTTGAGGACTTCTTATAAGCAGCATGTTGTTAGTTTTTTAAGTTATCTTCCCATCTAGAGTCAAAATGAAGGTACAGTAGCTTTTGGCGTGGCTATATTGACAGGCAGCTATTACACTGTGCGGTCCGGTTTGGCTGTTTTCGTCTTGGAAACCTTTCACAGTGTCACAAACCAATGGGTGATTTAATTGTGAAAATGTAAATTATTTAAACTATAGTTAATGAATGAAACAAACCACCAGAAGGTTTTGAAATATGCTTTTTATAGCACATTTACACTAAGGGTTGTATGTACAGGTTATATTATATTTAGCAAAACGTTCCTAAAGACACATTAGAAAGTACTAAGTGCCAATTACCACAACAAAAGGTGTCATTACAGTATCCAGTAACCCGAGCAAGGCAAGGCAAGTTTATTTATATAGTACCTTTCAACACAAGGCAATTCAAAGTGCTTTACAAAAATGAAAGACATTAAGAAAATGGCATTTAAAAACAGTCATTAAAAAGCAAAGATAATAAAAGAAACATTAAAAGAAAAAATACATGAATAAAAGTTACAGTTAAGATATGAATAGTTCAATTAAAAGCAGCGACAAAAAGAAAAGTATTCAGCCTGGATTTAAAAGTAGTCAGAGTTGCAGCGGACCAGGAAGCAGGAAGGGAAAAAACAGAGGACAGTAAACATTGCAGCCCAGTTCTGATTTATTATCACTGTATCGCCACCTCCTGCTGACCTACAGTAGCTCTCAGCTAAGATAAACTCAGTCTCCCTCAATGATGTGGGTTAATGAGACACAATAGTTTAATCACAGTCAAAGATACATTATCGTCATATTTGTATCAGTTCAAAAATTAACCGAAGTAGTGTAGTGTAATAGTGTATGGAAAGTATTTGTATTTCCACTCTGCCGAAGGGGCAAGAAAATGCACTGCCAGGGGAGGTTTCATTTGTCTCTTCTGCTGAAAGTCAGCAATGTTTTGTTCAGTTTCCATTCATAGAAGAAAATAAAAAGAAGCATGAGAAAGGAAAAGAGAGAGCAAGTTTCTGTGCTTTTTTATTTGTGAACTGAAAATAGAGGCAGGGTTTCCCTAAAGCCTTGCGTAATCCTGACAACAGAAAACTCCAGCTGTGGATATGAAAACTGCGTTTGTGAGCATGTGTGTGCGCAAGTTCATTGATTCATATTTAAAATAGTGTAATGGATTTCCTTTGGACATTTCCTTCTCATGTATTTCTTAAATATCTGTAAGGACATTAATGAAATGTTGAAATAACTCCACATGACACATTACAGCAGCTGTCTGAGTAATGCTGTCGTCACTTCCTGAAAAGTGGAAAAGGAGATGCCTGGGGGAACTCTTGATTCCTTTCACTAACAGGTTGGTCAACTACATCATCAGTCCTAAACATGTCAACAAATCGAACTTTATTTATAAAGCACTTTTAATACACAAAAGTTATGAAAGGAAAAGTACTTTTAATTAGACACCAGGGGCCGTATTCACAAAGCATTTTATCTTACCGCTAGGAGTGCTCCTAACTCGCGCTAAAACATTTTACGTAGGAGTTTTTTCTTAAAAGTTATTCACAAAGCCGCTGAGACCTACTCATACTAAGGATAAATCACTAAGAGTGAACTAAGAGTGACGCGCCGTTGCTATGGATTACGTCGATTCTCGTGCATGAGTTTAGAAGCGGTCAGTACGGTGATTGGTTGTTCAGAGCAGGCGGTCTCGGTGAAACTCATCTGCAACATCCCTCAAACGAGCCCACTAAATCACCGAAAAACAAGGAAATAGCCTAGGCTAGAAATGTATTCCTATCAAATAGTTATGGACAGTGCAGTTAGCAGAATACACGCATGATGACAAGTTTGTGCAGACCACGATAATGACGTTGTATATGCACGTTAAAGAGAGAGAGCAAACAATAAAAATACGTAAATTGCATTAAATCAAGGAGGCAATTAAAAGCACTATGCAAACTATTATCCAATGAGCATATTTCCAGCACTTAAACACTTTCAATAACAGCCCATACCGCCGTTCAAGTCCCCCTATCATGATGAATG